GCTATGTCTAGAGTGCTCACAATCAAAGACAAATGATGGCTGACAGAGGCTAAAGGGAGTAATAGAATAATTCCATCAGTAGGATCTGTTTAAGATAAAAAAAAAAAAAATCCCAGAAATGGAGGGTACTGGCTGCACAGCAACATGAGTGTAGCTAATGCTACCAAATTCCAAAACCACTTAAGAACAGCTGAAATAGGGCTGGGGAAATGTCTCAAACGGTAAAGAGCTTGCCATGCAAACAAGAGGCCCTGAGTTTGGACCTTCACCATGTAAAAACTGCATGTCAACACAGAGAAACGGGGCTCCACAGCTGTAATCCTGGCACCTGTAACCCCAGCATGGTCTTTGTGGGAGAGACAGATAGATCTGGGGACCTGCTGGTTAGCCATCTAAGTAAAATAGCCAGCTCTAGACTCAACAAGAGAAATGCGTTGAAAATTCATTTTAAACATAAGCCAGAGGAAGATACCCCCAAACAACCTCTAGCCTCCACTCACACAGACAAGCCACCCATATACACGTGTGTGTGTGTGTGTGTGTGTGTGTGTGGTGCATTTCGAAATGATAAACATGAATAGGTGTACTTTGTCACTTCAACCTAAACCCCTGCTTTTTAACCATATACACCTAAATAGTTTAAACAGCACCAGAACCAGAATCTCTATCCAAAAATCTCACACCCTGACCAACCACAAAACCACCACATCTCTCCCAGGCTTTTGCCACGACTAGTGAGCAAAGAGGCAAGGAGGCTTAGCTATCTATACAAGGTGTAAGCCCAGAGCTCTCAAGGGAGTGATACCTGAAAACTCCCCATCGATGGCGAAGAAGTCAGCCTCCTCTATGGCCTGGTACACTTTGTGAAGATTAATCTTAAAATCTGCAGAGAAACCAAGAAGAAGCTCAGAACAGGTGGCCTGCCTTCCTGCCCACCAACTAAAGGGAGATGGGAGAAAGGTCTGGAGGAGCTCCCGGGGTATCGGAGAAGACGGTCAAGTCCCTAAGTGTGCTAGGACCACAAGGGACACCTTCTCTGGGGTGACTAGATAGAGGAATCAAGCCTCGAAGTATGCATAGCTGAAAAGGTCTAGGACTGAGCAGGTGAGCGGGGAAGAGAAAGGCATGGATGCCAAGGGTGCATCCTTTGCAGAGCGACAAGTCCCACCAGCAGCACCAGTTTTCAGAGAATGTAAAGCCCGGCAGAGCTGACTTGTCCCCGGGCCCCGCCAAGCACACGAGGTCTGGGCCTAGCACGTTGGGGGACAGGGCTTGGGGACAGGGATGGGGTTGTGCGGCGGGCACGCACTGCTCCGGATTATCTCCATCCTGCGGCGCAGACGGAACCTTGGCCCCGCCCAGGCCGACGCCGGTCCACGCGCAGAGTTCCGCAGCAAAAGCAGCGGCGGGGATGTCGGAGGCCACCACGAAACAGACCGCACAGGACACTTCCGGAAACAGCGCGCGCCGCGGCGCCTGCGTCAGAGCTGTGTCACGTCAGGGGCGGGGCGGGGCCCTCCGGGCTGACTAGAAAGGGAAAAGGGGCATTGCTAGCAAAGTCTCAAGGCCTGGCCCATGTATTGGAGAAGTTACCTGTCCTGAACCTGGTTGATCAAGAGATTTAAGGACTGGTCTCCCCTGGGTCTATAATTCCGGGTCTGAGAAGGATGAGGCAGGGGAATTGCAAATTCGAGGCCAGCTTAGGGGACATAATGAGAGTCTGTTTAATAAAAATTAATTTTATGTATACAAATATATAATATTTGCTTAATTTGTAGGGTAGTGTTGGAGAAGTATATGTGTGCATGTGTGTGGTGGTCGGTGATCACTAGTAGCGAGCAAATGAGGACCTCCGGTGTCTGTTCTTGTTCTCCACCTTCCTTGAGACGGCCTCTCACTGACTGAACTTGTTTCAGCCAGAGTAGCTGGCCAGAGAGCTCCTAATATGCCGGTCTCTGACTCCCAACACTGGGTCTACAAGATTGCAGGGTTGTGCCTAGCTTTTTACGTGGGTGCTGGGGATTTGTACGTGACTCGGGTTGATTCCGCAGCAAGCGCTCCTACCCATGGAACCCTCTACACCCCGTATTTACTGAGTTCCAGTACTATGCCACTTTGGTAGGATGGAGATGCTATGATGAGAAAGCATGGTGATTGTCCCATTGCAGTGAAAAACTTGGAGAAGAAAAAAAGCCAGGCAGAAATCAGACTTGCTATTTGGAAACTTGGTAGTTGCTATGGAGATAAAGAGCAAAATGCCGTACCAGAGAGTGATGGGGATGCGGGGTTTCTTAGGCAATCAGAAAAGGCAAAGCCATTTTTGGGAGCCTGCGTTGTGACCTAACACTCTACAAAAGCAGCAAGTATTCTTAACCTCTGAGCCATCTCTCCAGTCCACATTCAGCTCATCTTGGAGAGTTTCAGGGTTTTGTTGGCTAGCTTATGGGAGAGATAAACTGTTCACAGGGGCTAGAGAGCTGGCTGTTAACAACTGTAATCTTTTCAATATTTATCCTCCGAAGAGTGAATGAGACTCCATGTGATGGCTATTCTTGGGTGCCAACTTGACTATATCTGTAATAAACTACAATTCAAAAATGGAGGGCACATCTGTGAGAGATTTTCTGCTAGGTTTTAAGTGAGTGAATCCATTGCTAATCCAGACCTTTGAGGTAGGAAGAAATACATATTTGATCCAGATTTTGAGGCAATAAGACACACCTTTAATCTAGATCTTGAGGTAGGAAGACACAACTCTAATCTGGGGCAACCTTCTGCTGGCAGCCTATGTAAGGACATGGAAGAAGGATGCTCTTACTCCCTGCCTGCTTGCTCTTGCCTTGGTAGCACATCCATTCCTTCACCGGCTTGCTC